ACCCCCCCAGGTCAGGCGCATCCACGGGGAATATGACCGGGTCATCACCCGTCCAATTGAGAGATCCTATCGCATAGCCGTACTCGATCAAATTAGAAGGATGCGCGCCGCCTTCACCACCATCTGTGCGAGCCCAAGTAGGCTTCGGGCCTAGCAGACGGATGCCTCCTCTAGCGGCGTTGTGCGACACTTTAAAATTCGCGCTGTAAAGCATATCAATGCTGTCGGGAACGAGATACCCCTGATCATACGGTCCGGGCATGGCCATAAACTCCCAGTGATCAGGGTACTGAGGAATAAGATGCTGCGGTAAGCGGAGGTCACCGCTCACTTCTGGTACTTGGGTAGTAATCGCAAGAAGGTCACCAGAGGCAAGCTGTCTGCCTTGATAGCCCCCAACGCCAACACCTGGAGTGGTTGATTTGGATCCGAACCACTCTGCGACATTCAAGAACCCTCCGAAGACACCAAGGTAGGCTCTGCAGCCATTACCCGTTGTTTTCCCGATTTTCAGACGCTGGCCAGCTGAGACCTTCACTCTCGACCACATCGGGAGGGGTGCGTCCTCAAGCTTAGCTTCGATTGGAGCACCACATAATGAGATCAGTGCTGGCCCCAGAAATCGTAGTTCCGGTCCACTCAAGGTTATTTCCAAGGCTTCCAGACCCATTGGGTTTCCAACAAGCGCATTCGCAATGCGGAAGGCCATGGGATCCATCGGCCCCGAATGGCAAAAACCCCTTCCCAAAGTTGGACGGCCAGGCCAATCTTCAATGAGTGTATAGGCACCGCCAGAAATAACATCAATAGCAGACAATTGATATTTGAAGTCGTTTAGAAAGCGAGTCAATGTTCTTCCAGCGACGAAAGTGTCATCCGCCAGAATATCAGCCAGGAACTCCAAGTTTGTTGGAGGGCCACAGATACGTGACTCTGTCAATATTGTCTTCAATCCTTCAATAGTTTGCTGTCTGCTTTGAGAGTGATACATAACCTTCGCAAGTAGCGGGTCTGAGAATCTTGCGTTAGTACTTTCCTGTAAAAGTATAGCTCTGGCAGCCTACCGTAGTTTGCCGACACCTTAACACCCCTATAAACCCATGTATCGATTCTAGACCCCGGCAGTTCCTTCCATTCTACCGTCTGCAGTGTACCAGGGCAGGGAGCAAAATCTTTGGCCGGGTTTTCGGCGTAAACTCTAGCTTCGATGGCGGCACCTGAAGGTGCGCTTACTGTAAGGCTGGCCAGGTACGCTGCGTCAAGGCCTTTTCTTCCTGAGAGTTGAGCATTGGCCTGTTTTAACATCAAGTCCACCAGGTCGATGTCGTAGCATAGCTCTGTTATGCCATGCTCGACCTGCAGGCGTGTATTCATCTCCAGGAAGAAGAATGCCCCAGTTTCATCATCTACAAGGTATTCGATCGTTCCAGCCGATCCATACTTGATTGACTCCGCAAGGCGGACGGCTGCGTCACCCAGTCTCTCTCGTAGCCCAGGGTTTTTGGTAACAAACGGACTTGGGCATTCTTCTATAACCTTTTGATGTCTCCTCTGGATTGAGCACTCACGTTCACCGAAGTATATGGCCTTACCATCCCCGTTTCCGAACACTTGTACTTCAATATGATGACTTGACGGATAGTAGCGTTCGATGAAGACGCCGTCATTCTTGAACAAGGCCCCGCCCCTAGATTTAGCGGTGGCGAAAGAGTCACGGACTTCTTTCTCTGTGTTGCATGTAAGTAAGCCCATTCCACCACCCCCCGCTGTGGCCTTCAGCATGACCTATGTCGATGTCAGCTCCGTTACCTAGCAGATGAAAGCTGAGTAAGTGTACCGGAAACCCAAGTTCTTCTGCTATTGTGACAGCATCATCCTCGCTCTTTACCAGTCCCTTCGAGCCTGGCACAATAGGAACACCGGCTTTTGTAGCAAGATCTCGTGCAGTATGCTTGAGTCCGAAGGCTTCGATACTCTCCGGCGAAGGACCAACGAAGGCTATGCCTGAGCTAGAAGCAGCTCGTGCAAAGTCCGCGTTCTCGGATAGGAATCCGTATCCTGGTATGATTGCATCTGCTTTGTATTTCTTGGCGATATCAATTATTTGTTCTCTGTAGACGTCAATATGTAACCATTAACTTTTGTTGGGCTTGGATCAAGTGAAATACTGCTCACCCGTCAATATAGGCCTTAGATGGTACTCCTTGCAAGAGTACGGCCTCGTCTGCCAGGTGTACATGGGTAGAAGCAGCATCCGGTTCAGTATAGACCACCACCGTCCGGAGGTTCAGCTTCCTGTAGGATATTAGACCCTTTTATTCTCGAAATCCAATTATAGTTGCTCGTACTTGGCTGTTTTCAAAATCCTGACGGCGATTTCGCCGCGGTTGGCGACTAGCAATGTCTTCAGGGACTCCATCGTGAGTAATTGGTAAAAGGTCGGAGGCACAGTGTTCCTTTGGGCGGGACCCTCCTAATCTCTAAGGAGTAGCCCAAGCTTTTATCGGCTTTTGTACTCATCCAAGCACTGGTACTCGGTTTGGAGAACCGGATGATAAGCGGTATGATGTAGGATGGATCGACAATCGTTGGAGAAGTGGAGATGTGCGGGGTCAGTCTTGGGTTCACTGATAAGCCAGATATGGATGGTCTCATCACAAGAAAACCTCAAGAGCTGTTCTTAAGAGAAGCTAAAACTTCCGCATAGTTGCCATTGCTATTATCGTTCAGATAACTTGCCTTCGTTTGTATTCTTGGTTTCACATCACGGTATGTATTGTCATCCTGGCTCTTTCAAATATATGATCCGGGGTAACGGAGGAATTCAGCGGCTTCCCGAATTTTGGGAACACGCCAACTTCGGGACCCATTGCTATAATCTTCCACAAGCTAAGGTTATCTTGGTTCTCGAATATGATTGTTCGGTATGGCCGCTGCTGGTTCGCTATTGAATGAACCATCCGATGTAAGTTGCTGGGTGGCGCCGTTACCCCGCCGTTGAATGCCATGAGGTGGCTGGGCTTGGAGTCCAGACCTTTTGTATTAGCAGTGAGGAACGCTTGGGAATGTTTGGGTATCGGGATCGCATGGTCTCGTCATGGATGTTGTTGTGGGCGACTGTCGATAATAAGATACTACTAAACAGGCGTCTCCCGGTTTGCAATGATCATAGATCGTGGGAATATATACCGCTCACACTGGGCGTATAGCAGTAACATCGATTTTCATTCCCGGGGGGGGAACGATAAGTGTTAGTGCCACTAGATTTCCATTGTATAGCGGTACGGATCTGAAAATAGCTGAGAATAGCTGAAAATATTGAAACTAAACATGGGAACCATTGGGAAAGAACTATGTCGGGGACAAGCTACTGCTATCTCGGAGAGATGATTGAGATATTCGACTAGTAGCATTCGCTGAACGCTAGCCTTATTTAGCCAAAAAGGGACATGGTTCTTCAACAAGATCCGATATGGTGTAGTGGCTAACATCGCCGTCTCTCACACGGCAGCCGGGGGTTCGATTCCCCCTATCGGAGCTCAAATTTTCTTTTTTGCTTTTTGCTTATCCTTTCTGTCTCCTACTGCTACCCATACAGATATGTTATTCTCCCCCTCTTCTCTTTTCTTAGGACTAAATCTACACTTTTTACTTCATTAGCTTTATACTGCCCTGAAAAGATTGACCATGTCGAATCAACAGTCTTGAATCACCGTTCCGAGATGATATGGTTCCCCCTCCATCCCGCTGGTTAATTGCACATTGAGGTGTGTGTCACTGTGTGCATCGGTAGTAAGCGGCCACCTGGTTGCATTGCACATGCTTCTTGCATGCATGCATGCTGTTTTTCCGCGGAATTTCATGTAACTGTGATGACACCTCTCACAGTTGAGTCCTAAGCATTGTATATAGTCTTCATCACCGGTTGATAGCATTGTGTCTATCCATTACTGGAAAGACATAGGTCGGCCCATTCCACTTAGCCCTACAGCTTATCAAAATCAAAGAACTACTTATCTATGTATCTTGTCCCCACTATGAAGCCATCATCCCCACCAGATGTGCAGATGGTAGACTTTATAGCCGGCAGCTAAACCTTCGGGATGTAGCTTGTACGCTAGCCGGGGATCGCGACCTGGCCGCACTTCCTGAGACAACAGGGTAATTGATATATGTAATGGCTTATCGGTTTGATTTAAATCGAGTAACTGTTGTTATTCGACTTCGCACATCGTCGCCTTCTTGCGATTATCGACGGTCATCACAATTGAGGTGCCGGTGACGGAGGTTGACTGACTCTCTGTCTTCACCATCAATCATGTATTTGATCCACACTACTGTTAGCACTTGTTTGACTTATATAAAGATTATAGCAACGGATCAGACACTCCTTTAGCATTTGCTCACCGTTATTCAGTCCTTTGCGTCCTTCCAGCAACGGATGATCCATGGTGAGGGAAGTGGGGCAGTGGTCCGATATCGTCGGCGCCGCGATGATTCATACTTTTTTGCCCGATTGGGTTAAGCGGCACGCCCAATGGGCCCCCTGCACTGACTGGGCGTAAACCGAAAAAGGGCAAGCGTTGTCAATGGAAGGGCGTGCAGGCGCGCAGTGATCCAGTTTTCTCCCTCGTCTCCTTCAGTTCTTACGACTACGCTGCCTTCCTCACCTGCCGTTGTTCAAGGACTGGGTCAATCATCGGCCAAGCCGACTGGACCGAACGCGATGGACATGCATCAGTCTCACCCTTGGAAAACTGCTAGTGCTTGCAGTCGAGCTCTTACCCCCCTAAAGGCTAGGTCCACGATGGATATTCCTACTGGATGAATGGAACCTGCTAGCATCAGTGCCGGCAGGGTTCTCCGTTCCGGTATGCTTTTGGTACCCCAGACGAAAAACATAGTCTACCTTGGATCCTGGCTCCCTCCGCTGCCCTCTTGCTTATCCTAAGTCTTGGTCCTCCATCTCTTCGCCATAACTCCTCTGTTCCCAGTGTTTCGACCTAGGACGAGACTACTTTCGTGTGTCATACTGTAACCATAAATTGGAACCCCCCTTTATCATAGATTCAAGCCCCATCAAGTACTCCAGACAAGAATGGAGTACTTCGACTTCGATGAAGCCTCATATGGTTCCAACGTGCGTGAAGATGATGTTGCCTCGGACAATCTCGAGTTCGACGAGAACGAGGCCGCTGAAAACTACAACGCCATCTTCCAGGAACAGAGCCTAGAGTTTCCCAACGACAACGACCTACCGGAGCAAGATGCCGGTGAACTAGACAACGGCGTCTATCCCATGAGTCGTGCCGAGGAGCCATGCGACTTTTGCAGGCACATGAATCTCGATTGCTTTGTCGCAAAGAGTGGAGTGATGCGTCCGAATGGTTGTACTTGCTGCATTTCGCTTTATCGCGAATGCAGCTTCACCCACGCTCGAGCACCCGGCAAGTTCTTGGATACCTTACATCCAATCTCCGAAAATACCTACATCCATACCGGTGGTTTGACCGGAAAGAAGGCGCTCAAATCGTTGTCCTTCATTGCTGAAGATGATGGCCGAGCGAGGAAGAGCAAGTCAAGACTGGCGCGGGAAGCGGTCCGCATCCTCAAAGCATGGCTCCAGGAACATTGGGAGCACCCCTATCCAACAGAGCAGGAAAAGGACGAGTTACAGCAACGCACAGGTCTGAAGAGGATGCAAATCTCCAACTGGCTTGCTAATGCTCGGAGACGTGGTAAAGTTCCTCCTGGGCCGCGCAACTCGTCCGCGACGGGCGCAATCAACATTCCCGGACAAAAAGGCGTGGACGTCACTTACATGACACCCATCGAGCGTTGGAAGCACTCGCCCCCTGAAAACGAACCCGCTGCCACCTCTGATATTCTGCGAGCCCTGGTGACGACCGACCTGAAACATGACCGACAGCGCGCATCCAGACCAGGTCACGTGCGTTCCCTTTCCCGGAAGACTGGGTCTAGCAATGACTCAAGCCATGCCAACTCCAATTTGTTCCATGCCCCCTCGGTCAGTAGTCAGGAAACAAGTCAATCGGCCACTCGTTCTTCTATATCAGATCTCTCTTTTGCCTCTGCCTTCTCCCACCGATCCTCTCTCGGTTCCTTCGGCTCTATGGAGCGGAAGGAACGCCGTCGCCGGCGCAAGCCCTCACTTCCCGTCAACACCTTCAATCAACAAAAGGCACGCAATGCCCGCATATACCAATGTACTTTCTGCACCGACTGCTTCCAAACCAAGTATGACTGGCAACGTCATGAGAAGTCACTACACTTGGCTCTCGAAAAGTGGACCTGTTCGCCTTTGGGGGGAGTGGCCTTCATAGATGACGCCAACCGTTGTGTATTTTGCATGGCTGTTGATCCCAACGACGATCATCTAGAATCACACAATTACAGTATCTGTCAAGAGAAGACACCCGCAGAGCGATCCTTTTACCGGAAGGATCACCTCAACCAGCACTTGAGACTGATGCACAACGTCAAGTTTAACTCATCCATGAACGCCTGGAGGAGCACTCTCACAGAATTCAAATCTCGGTGTGGATTCTGCGGGCTGAGTCTAACAACTTGGAAAGACCGAGTTGACCACTTGGCTTCCCATTTCAAGAATGGCAGTACCATGGCGCAGTGGCAGGGCGATTGGGGGTTTGAACCCTTTATTCAGGGTCTGGTCGAAAATGCAATGCCACCGTATCTCATTGGCGGCGAGCAGAAGACTCTGAATCCTTCCAGGCCACCCAATGCTGCACAATCAACCAATCTGCTTCAACCAGAAGATGCGAATTGTTATAGGCGCCTGCAGCGTGAACTCACCGCATATATCCACAACCAGAGGGCCGCCGGTACCATCCCAACAGATCGAATGATACAGGACGAAGGCCGGCGAATCATATATGGAAGCGACGACCCATGGAACCAAACGTGCGCCGATAACTCAACTTGGCTCAGCCTGCTGAAGCGAGACACAGGACTCGAAGTTCTCCCTGGGTCAGAGCACATTCAACTATCCGATTTGGGTATGCGACCGCCATTTGCTGCTGCTGACGGCCTAAGACAGGCCCCAGCCGAAACCAGCATGTTATCCAGTCCTCTCTACCCCAGACAGGGCACATTTAGTCCTGTGACCCCCAACTCTGGACTCCAGAGCCCCGCCTTTATGGGGCACGGTCGGTCTTCCTTTGCTGCGAGTGCTCCTGGGAGCTCGACTGGCAGCTATGCCGAAAGTTCTGGCTTTCTCCCGTCTCGGCCCTATTCCAGGCTGTCGGCTGACGTGGGGAGTACCCTGTCTGCTGGCATTGCGTCCCTCAACACGCCTTTGAGCGGATCTGTTGACCAATTCGTGCAAATGGGGTTCGATCCCGAGTTCTTACAACAACTGAATGAGCGGTATGATGAGTTACCGTTGGACGATCTGCAGGGGCTATGCTTTGAAGAGAGTAGTAGGCGTGAGAGTGAAGTTGGAGCTAGGAACGTTGGACAACATCAGGTAGAGCCAACTGGAAAAGCACTGCCTTTCTCTACACCTGTCTCCGCTCCCATAACCATCCCCGGTATGCGGAGCTCCGATGTGTTTGTGTCCGATACTGGTCCCAACGAGGAGCTTGCGCCCACGACGGATCTGGGATATTCAGGTATGCATGAGGGCCGTGAGCAGATATAATGGTGATTGATGACGGAATCGGTGTTGTAGATATGCGGCAAGTGTAGATAGTCCATGACTGAGAGGGTCATGAGGTCAAAAAGTTTCTTATACTTCGATTTGCTTTTGTGGAGAGATGGAATTATTTCGGGGATTTTCTCGCATTTCTTCGACTGCAAACGTTCAATTCGTGGGACGTGAAAGCGAGCATGTACAGGAGATAGCCACAATTAATATACCCTTCTTTGGACTGAAAACGGTGAATGCTCCTTGCGTACAACATCATACGAAGGGCGTAGTATACAATTAGTACTAGTGCTGTCACAGGGCGTAAAACAACACGAATAATCCGATTGGCTGGCTCACCCACGCCACTGAATCATGGAACCGCCGAGTCACGGGCCTAGAATTGGGTGCCTTATCGGAGGGGCCAACAAACGGCGCACCGTTTGACATGTGAAAGCCGCTGGCTGAAGTTTGCGCCGGAAGTTTTCTCTCACGCCATGCACCTAAGCAGCTTCCTGCTTGTGTTTGACCCTACCATGTGCTTCGACCGATGGCTGGACATTCAGTAACTTTCTGAAACGCCAGAAAGTCTATCTGGTCGTTCGTGGACGCTGTTGCCGTTCTCTGCGTCAGACATACGCTGCCAGCACTGTCTCATGGTTCACCCCTCATTGTTGTTTATATTCATTGTATAGGCCCCTACCCTCGCAAGATGGATGAATTCGACGACTTAACAGCACTGAGCGATACGATGGTCTACCGCCAAGTACTCATGGCCTTTTCTCCCGTTATCCCGGCCTCGCTTCGACGGCGGATCTCTAGACTATACCCATCAATGCATCGATCCGTGAAGTCAGATGCCAGCGCTAGCGCCAGCGCCAAAGCTAAAACAGCTGGTGAGGTCGGAGGCGATGCGATTGCCGCAATGCGACAGACTTCTGAGCCAGGAGAGCTGGATGTGGCATCGCTGCCTGATAATTCGTCTGGGCCCGCCTTTCAGCGCCCCAGTACTGCAAGCAGTGCTAGCAATGGAGTAGATCCATGCTTCTCGCCTGGCACTGAGAAATCACAAGAGCTCAGCGATATCTCTAGTCTCAGAAGCAGTAGATCTAGCAGTGTCTTCAGTCCAGTGGCTCCGAAATATGAGGCAGAATCCGGACTGCGATGGAATCGGATTGCGCCTGGTTCGTCTTACCGCCTGTCTTTATTTCTGTTCTTTTAGTATTAGATGTCTTTATTTCTGTTCTTTTAGTGTTAGAACAGACGACTGAAGTATCTAGTACGAGTCTGGCTGACAGTATTTCAGCACTCAATCTCCTGCAAAATGCCTGTCATGAAGCGCAGCAGCGGCAGTGCGACAGTCGCTTGGCTCGGATGTTGTACGTTGATGCTTTGAGTTATCTTCTCGATGGCCTCCCCGACGATATGAGCAAACAAGAAACCATGATAATCCAGGAAAATCTTCCTGCTGGTGTCAAGGAATCTTTGGCTGCGCCTGCCGTGACTGATCCATCCGCGGCAGGGCTTCACAGTATGCTTACGAGAAAGAATTCTCCACCTGAGCGATCTTACCTTCATCGACTACTGTCGTCGACTATCGTCTACTTCTTCATAATGTTGCAATTCCTCATGCCATATGTGAAAATCCTCGTGTACCATCTGTACCGATATGAGCGATCTCATCGGTTAACGGAACGCGCCGTAACAAAGGTTCTGGATGCGGCTGAAAATTTTGGTAAAAGAGGTATGGTTGTGGGGGCTGCAGTCCTGAATTACAACGAAGGGAGAGTGAGCGCAAATATGATGGAGCTTGCAGCCTGGTGGGTGACAAGCATTGCAGGTGGTATCTACGAGGGATTTGCGGAGGGCATGATTATCATGGGAGTCACCCAGTCGCATGTTGAGCTGGGGAAGGCTTTTGTGCAGGCTTCGCGGTCATGAGCTAGATTGACTAAGTTGGATGTGTATTCTAAGCGTAGATATAGACTGTTATAATGTGACATGACTATTACACAGTAAGGGGGCATTTACTTCTACCATGACTTTTGTTTCCAGCGCTATTGTATACTTTACCCATGTGAAGTGGAGATGCTACCATAGAAACCCAGATAACCGCCGGAGATAGCGGACATAAGCACCTCCGACTCTTCATCTTCGCTCGCCGCACCCCTGAGCATTTCCGACCACCAATTCCAAACATCATGTCGACAACCCGCTTGCCCAACGTCCCTGCGCTTCGGAAACAGCAGCTTCTCCTAGAATTGTGAGCATGCTTAATACCACTCGACTGACCAAACCGTGGTGTTGACTGTCTCTGCAGCGCAAGCTTGCAACATGCCGCTCCTCCGGGAACTTACATGAGCCTCAGCCCGGGCGATCCAACGCTTTGGTTAGGAGTCATCTTTGTTCGCTCCGGTTTGTATACTCAATTACTTATGATGCCCGCGATCTGACAATCTTGTCTGTATAGGCCCCTATGCGTCCGCCGTCCTCCGCTTCCAGATCCGGTTCCCCACGTCCTATCCCGATATGCCTCCTCTAGTGAACTTCGCCACTGACGTCTTCCATCCCTTAATCGTCCCCCTCACCACATACACATTCAGCACCGGTGCCTCAAGCGAGGATCCAGTCAGCGCAACAGACGAAGAGCGGCTACCCCCTGGCGGATTCAGTTTGCGGCACGGGTTCCCGCACTGGTTCGGCCGCGCAAAGCGAGCTGGACTACAATCGGCCACTCCGCCTAGAGAGACCACTAGTGTGCGTAATTCGACTGCTACCAGCGAAGGGGTATCCAACACCCTATGCAGGGAAAGCATGTCCGGGGATAACGGCACCGCCACCGAACAGACAGAGCCTCAGTCGAAAGAAGAGGATGACAATGAGAATGAGGACGAAGGCGAGGCCGTCGCCCCGTCGTCGGTAGAGAAACCGGTCGAGCCTAGAAAGACTGTCCCTGTATCAGAGCTGCTGGATTACATTCGGTCTACGTTCGATAATGAGACGGTCCTCGATTCTTTACCGCTGGAAGCAGCCGGAAACCCGAGTGCGTGGCATGCGTGGAAGGCTCATCGGAAGGGAAGCACTGCTTCTGCATCGAAAAAGGGGAGCCCGCAGGCGAGGTCCCCGGGAGACTGGCATTGGGATGGGATCTGGGCCAGACGGGTGCAGAACGAGATAGAGGCTAGTAGTTCGGATGCGATGTTGTATGGGAATGCGACGCGGGGAGGAGTCGAGGAGATGGTAATTCCTGATACCCAGTGTGATATTAATCAGTTGCTAACAAGTCCACAGATCCGGTTCAGCCGCCTCGACGAATCCACCCTTGCATCAGTCAAAGAGATGATGATTCCACGCACAGAGGCAGTGCGCGAGTAATTCAATATACCCTTAATAGACCCGATCGTGGCTCAGTTGACCTGACCTGATCTCATACATAATCAAGAAGTCATTATTTGAGGCTGTCATCATGACCCATCCATCCATCCATCGTGCCTGCCTAGTACGTCACATCTGTGGCAGTGCCAGAACACCCATCCATACATTCATCCCCCTCTATAGTACTCTACCTCTAACCCCCTCCCAAAAGCATCTTAACTACTTACCACCTCCTACTCATCCACTTACCAAAATCATACCTTCTACAATACACCCATAACCCAATATGTCTAGCTGGTATTCGCAATACAAATCATCCATCACCGTCATCCTCTTAGTCCTCGTCCCCATCATCGTCATCTGCAGCATCCTCGCCATCGCCCTCCTCTGCTCGGAATTCTGGAGCACCCGAAAATCAGTCACCTGGGTGTTCTGGGTCAAGCCGCAGGATCGTCAGAAAGGGAAACGAAACTCCCAGCCGGATCTCGAACGGGGTCGGAATCCTCCTGCTTATCAGGAACCGCTGCGCAGACGGGAAGAGAATTGAATTGGGTTTTGTCTGCAGATCAAGTTTTAAGGTTGAAGGCGGTTGGTTGGGGTGGTGGTTCTGGATATCGAGGCTGCCGTGGTGTTGGAGTGGCATGAAGATCGCCGATCTGGTTTTGGATCTCGTGGAATAGACTTCGAGGGTTATCAGAGTAGACTTTCGGAGCACCGAGTCGGGGATATTATGGACGTGAGACGACTACTGAGTCTTGGACGGCCTGCTTACGTGGGGCGCTGCTCGACAGAGACGTTTAGTTGAGATGATACTGATGCAGATCGTTGGAAAGGTTCGACTTATCATTTTCTGGGACAGCCACAGGGCGTGGTTGGTTTGGGCTCACGATGGCGCGACTTGGCCTATGTCAGCGAAGGATCTTATATGCCAGGGACTACACTAGAGGATTGACCTTTTATATGTGGCTGCCACTCTACATGTGATAAGTCACAGGCAGGCTACGTGGTTGCTTAGGGAGTATGCTTCCGTGAAGCGCAGTACAGGAGTTATGGCGTTTAGTTTCATGTTAACAGTTTGCTGTTTTACAAGCGGGGAATCAATCTGCTCTTTATGCTATTACTTCAATGCACTCGGAATCCGGTCTCTTGGATCGAGGCGGGATTATATGACTTCCGTTTGAACTATGCATATGAGTCCGTATCAGACGCTATAACGACATAAAATGGGTATCACAAGTTCATATCAATCTATACACTATTACCCCCAACCTCATCCCCATGCCCAACCCTACCCTCTACAAAATTCCTCAACCTCGGCGCATCCTCACCACTATCCTCCTTTCCCCTCAGACCCCACACCGGCTCCCCATCATCATCAAACTCCGCCCATTGAAAGAATCCACATCCCTTCTTCCCCGGAGCAAACCCAGCATAACACATCCACATATACCTCCCCCGATTCTCCCTCTTCCTTTGCACACACCTCAACACCGTATGTTCCCCACACCGACAACGGGGTGTATACCGCGGATGCAGCGACTCGCGATACCAGCGATAAGTGATATTGATCCTAGCCGTACCAGAAACAGGATGCGGAATGACCGTCCTAGCAGGGACAATGGAATGCTTCCATTCCTCTTGCATTTCTGCATGCATGATGAGGAGGGAGTTATGCGGTAGGTGAATGGAAATCTGGCCTCCATCATCACCATTATTCTCATCCTCATTGTCGGTGTCAACAGGGAGGATCTTCCTCACGCGAAACTCCCTCTCCACGCCTAGACTCAAGCTCCCGATGACGGGTCTCGGGCCGAGATATGTCAGTTCATCGGAGTGCCAGCCTACGCTTTCTGTGGGGCCGGCGTAGCAATTTACGAATGCGGCGTTGGGAGTCCATTCTAGTGGTGACTGGAAGGGAAGTTTGGGGCCCCGGGCTTTGATCTGCTCGTTCACGGTGCGTTGGACTTTGGCGGCGACGGTGCGCATGTGCGGGGTGATTTGGCGGACGTTGGAGCGGTAGGTGCCGCCGTAGGTGTATTCTGAGGTGTGGGAATGGTGGTCTTCTGGTGTGGAGACGTAGATGCTGGCTGAATGGGGGCTTTGGACTGTTCGGTCGAAGAGTTGGAAGTGGGGTCTGGTGAAATGTGGGGATTCGGAGAGGAGTTCGGAAAGGAGGGCGTTTGCGAGGGATGGGGGGAGGAAGTTGTGGATCAGGGTGCAGGGGGTGTGTGCTGCTATGGAGGCGGGAGAGTAGAGGTGGAGTGTTTGGCCTTTCTTTGTGAGAGGCTTGGGGGTGGTGGTTGGGGAAGTTGAGTATAAGCACGTTTGGATGGCTGGGGTTCCTGGGACGGCTGTTGCGCGTTTCTTGAACGGAGGCGCCGAGCCAGACTGGATTTGGGTTTGAGTTTGAGCCTTGATAGTGAATGAGGCTGTTTCCACGCAGCCATTGCTCGAAACCAGGATTTCCATCAGCGTGTCCAGGGTCATGGTTGGGAAGAGTGACATCAGGAGGGCCAATTTCATGTCGGTGGACTCTTCGTCGGTTGTTGGTGGTGGTGGAGGGCTCCGGGGCCTCTTCCGGGAGACGAAGCGATCCATGGAGAGGATCTCCAGGTCAACCTGGAAGCCATGAGGGAAATGGAGGAGAAGCTGGGGAGGGATGTTGAAGGTTTATTTGAAGGTTTGCTGCAACTGGAATTGATTTCCTTATCGACACGTGATTGCTCTCAAAGTGGCCAATCAGCGCACTACGTCATAGATCAGGACATTGGATTTGATTGTACTTTTGCTGCTCGTCATCTGCCTGAGCTAAGTCATAGCCATTATGAAGAGGACTTCTGGAATATCGCGACAACTGTTCTTTTACTATGCTACGCTGATCAGATAGAAAAACTCAGCAATTGTTGACGATGCAGCCTCAGGAGCAACACGAAGTGATTGTTGTGGGCGCAGGTATGGGCGCTTTTCGCCTGCCATTGCCTGACTCTTAGACTGCCCACTTACTCGTGGTTATCAGGTCTCGCTGGTCTAGCAGCAGCAAAGACGTATCTTGAGCTGGCGCCAGAAACAGATCTAGTAATGCTTGAAGCGGTATTCTATCCCGCACCAAATGCCCATCCAGCTGTCCACTGATCTGCATTGACAGCGTTCGGCTGTAGGCGGCGTATGGGCAGAAAACAGCTATGAAGGGCTTCATACCAACAATCTCTACGGAACTTATGAGTTTTCGAGTTTCTCGCTTGATCCAACCAAATATGATGTGCAACCGGAAGCTCCCATCCCTGGGTACGCGCTCAAGCAGTATTTTAGTGACTTCATCGATCATTTCGATCTTCGACGACGGACTCGATTCCACACTCGTGTGCATACGGTAGAAAAAGCTGATGGGTTCTGGGCGCTTCACACCGACTCGGTACTCTACAGGTGCAATAAACTCATCATGAGCCCTGGACTGTTCTCGACTCCGAATGAATTCTCGATCCTGGGACAGCAAAGCTTTGAGAGACCCATCATGAATCACTCTCAGCTCGGAACAACAGGCGCTCTGTTGGCAAATGACCCAGCGGTAAAATCGGTGACGGTAATTGGGGCCTCAAAGTATGGATATGATGCCGTGTATCTTATGGCCTCTCATGGTAAACGTGTGGAATGGATCATTCGTAAGTCTGGAGGAGGTGCTGTCTGGATGGCATTGCCATGGCTTTGGTTTGGACCCTGGCGGTTGAAGCTGGAAGGCCTAACAACCACCAGAATCATCACCTGGTTCAGTCCTTGCATCTGGGGAAATTGTGATGGATTTGGATGGGTGCGAGGACTGCTCCATGGGACAGCGCTGGGTAGGTGGCTGGTGCGATCATTCTGGAATAAACTAAACGGGGATGCCATTGAGGTCAATGGCTACCGGAAAGAAGCGGTGTTGAAAGATCTGGAACCAGATGGAAGGTAAGATCACCGAAAGCTAGACTTCATGACTAACAGCGGGTCATAGTGTGTTCTGGACGGGTCGTCTGGGGGTTCTCAATTATCCCACGGATATCTATGATTATGTTCGGTCAGGGCAGGTGAGCGTGAAGAGAAAGGACATATCGCATTTATCAGAAGGCCAAGTCAACTTTACCGATGGCACAGAACTACAAACCGATGCTGCAATTAGAATAACTGGATGGAAGCTGGTACCAAGCATCAAGTACGAGCCCGAGGGACTGGAAGGCAGCCTGGGGATTCCCACCAGGAATTCCTCTAGAGACCGAAAAGCCTGGGATCGTTTCGATCGCGCCGCGGATGAAGAGATATTCGATCGGTTTCCAGGTCTGCGTGACCAACCAGCTGCGAAGATTCCGTACAAGCCCGGGCTCAGTCCTTTCCGGCTCTACCGCGGAATTGCGTCTCCAGAGTTGACAGCCAAAGGCGATCAGTCCATTGCATTCTTGAAGATGCTTAATGGACCGAGCAACGCCCTTCTGGTCGAGGTGCAGGCTCTCTGGACATATGCCTATCTCAACAATCAGGTCCCAATTGACCGATCGAAGGTGTATTATCAAACAGCACTGACCAGTCGATATGGAAAGCATCGACATCCATGTGGTTTCGCGAGTTGGTATCCAGAGACGATCTTTGACGCGATCCCGTATCTGGATATGCTATTGATGGACCTGGGGATTAACAAGTGGAGGAAAAGAAGCTGGCTGCGAGAGGTTTTTGAGGAGTACACAGTGCATGATTACCGGGGGATCAATCAGGAGTGGAAACAGCAACACAAGACGCTCTCTTAACATACTCTGAATGATTTAGTGGGTAAAACAAGCCAGATAATTTCCTTGCTAATTTGGTATGTGTAAGCTGCGAGAATCATTTCGAAGACGATCGTACGATAAATATTCTAACCCATCCCTTGAGCCAAAGCACACCACTGACGCCAATCTAACCAGCCCAACCATACTCCTGACCCAGTAGTATACACATAGTATCATACACATCCCATACAACCCACCCTACCCCAACTCCCCCCATCTCCCGTCCCCCAAATACACCTCCCCATCACGATGATACTTCCTCAACCCCCCGGCCCCCCTCAACCCGTCGTACACCTCCACCACCGCCCTTAAAGCCACCCACGTCCAGCCCGGAAAACCCTCATCAGCCGGATTCGAATCCCTCCGTCTAATATCAGGAAAGTTCTCCTCCACCATAATAATCGGACAACACTCCCCTCCCCTCCCATCCACCAACCTCCCAAACCTCTCCAAAACCCCCTTATCAACAACCAAACACACCCTCAACCTCACAGGTAACTCCACCGCCGGCAACGCCAAATCCACCCTCTTCCAATCATGAAACACCCGTCTTATCTCCTCGACGCTCTTATCCCCATACAGCTTCTCCCCGCTGAAGACCTTCGCCGCGTAGCTGGATTCTAAAAGTCGAATTTGGGAAGGATTCCCCGGCAGGAGGCGCCGAATGGCGTGGTGGATTTCGGTGTTGAGGGATTGCAGGAAGCGGGAGAGGAGATTGTGGGAGGAGGAAGGTGTGTAGGTCGTTAGGTAGATTATTGGGCCCCAGGTTAGGGTGAGGAAGTCGCGGGAGGGACTGGGCGGGAGGGAGCGGAGGCCTGGTTGTGAGGCTGTGTGGTAGAGTTCTGTCTGGAGGAAGGTGAAGGCTGGGGTGGTGGGATCTTTGTCTTCTTTTTTGGGTTTCATTCTGGGAGGGGGTGGTATGTCGGAGGTGGTGGTTGATTTGTTGTAGGTGGGTTCATGGTGGATTAATTCGAGTGATTGATTGATTGGATAGTAAGTAAGTAAGTACTAGTAGTAATCTGATTGATAGTTACTAGTTGGGGTGATGAGTGGATGGAGAGGAATGTGGGAGTGGCGTCAGTATGACATGCTCGACATGGGAGCTGCCAATGTTTTGTTGACATCCGTTTTGGGAAAGTATAGATCTTCTACTTTGCTGAAGAGTTAAATATCTCCCTTATTGATAGTGGACTTATCGGAGTATGTGGTTATCGGGATTTAGGTACTAATTGCAGTAGTAAAAATCACATAACTGTCTATTTCCAAAATATAAGTAAATTCTTGCATGTCTAATAACGGGTGATGCCGCTTTTGGTCACTTGGGCAACGAAGTAACTGAATGACAGCCATGGCTACTTTCACCACTTCACTGAGAGTCGGGAACTATTTCAGAGTGCCGAGGTTCAGAATTTCTACATTACCTAAGTAAAGTAAGCAGCGTTAACACTGTATTCAGTGCCGACAAAGGCTACTGACCAACTGAAGCTGCTGATCACGGGGGCAGTCGCATTGTTGTGGCTATGTTACGATGTAAAAAGGTAGGGGAAGAAAGTAAGTTAGGAGTATTATCTACATCTACTACTAAGTAGTACATATATATCGGCACAAAGGCACATTGCGCTGATTTAGAAGCCTTGTCATATCTTTTACTTTTGGAGATACAACTCAATATATTCAGGTAAGAATCTGTCGTTTCCTGAGGCACCTTAAGTGATACTTGGTGTATCGTATAGGCGTCACGGTGGATTGATTTATCATGTGAATGAATTAACAGTAATTCTCACGCGTAGCTGGATAGATTGAAATAGAGGAAGGGAAATGTAGGTGTGACGCTAGTGTGAGAACACCTTGTATCTCTGTTTTATTGACATGGTCCGTATGGAATCACTATATGTAGATAGATCTACTTTAAAATTGGGATGCGGTTGAGATATATACCTAGGTATTAGCATTACTAACTAACTACAGTGAGGAGTAGTAGTCACATAGTTGGAATGCTCTGCTGCCTGAGTCCAGTCCGGCCTTAGGCTTTAGCGGCCATTGGGTCTACTACACTATAAAATATTTAGCCGATTCTCAAGTTGAGTGTAAAGCCATACATTCACATTCCCGGATCTTCGTATATGATGTTCTTCATCCGCTGCATCACTAAGTACCCCCGAAAACGCATTTGCCGGGCGGCCATAATGCTATCGCCTGCCGTCGAATTGACTATTTGGACTCTATAAGGACCGCTTGAGCGTCACCACGATCATCTTCGAAGTCTGCGCTTGCTCGCTCCCGCCTCGTCAGAAACATTCAACTCCTTCTGATTAGCAATCCGCGGTGTATGTGGTGGTTTCAACTGTTCGGAAGGCGGTGGTCCCAATCTGTACGACCATTGGGGATTATAATACCTAATCTGGGTGGGCTTTTGGGACTGGACAACGCAACTGCAACTGACGCCGACCATGTTGAGGCTGAGTAAGTTGGCTTGCCAGGGGTTTCGCAATAGTCGAGAGGCCGATAGCAAGAATATTGATTTTGTACGTCCAAGGGGATGGAGAGTAAGATTCTGAAGAAAAACTCTTGGTCACTGCTCTTATCTTCTGCCAGATTTCCTTTTTTGGAATCACACCCAGCCAGATCGGGTCCTCTTCGACTTTTATGGAGCTGATTCGACGGTGTGTTGCATACTCTATCGTCGCAATACAAGCACCCTCGTTTGAAAGAAAATCACTCTGCGGCGGTTTTATCGAGAGAGTGAGTGAAGCAAACGTATCAGGTATCCCGAATAATTGATCAACGCTTAGAGAGTACGAACCCAGAACAGGCTGGATTTTGATATCGACATCTCTCAGCTATCCCACGTTAGCTATACTGGATGGGTAGAGAAATGAACAAAAGGGGGGAAGGAGGAGGAAATGAAAAGGTGATCCATATCACGTACCATCCCGAAGCATATGTATTCTGCCTTATCTTCCTGAGTGCTCTGCAAGACCTTGTCATAATGTTTGTGGCATTGCTGGGGAGGGTCCTGAACATGTTCTGGAGCCAAATGTTTGGGCGAAAGCGCTTGTGGTGCTGGAGAGCCTGGGCATAACATGAGAAGCTAGACTCCGTTTGGGGTGAGGGGGGGTCGACAGTAGGTGTTGTACTCACAGATAGCCTCCGAATCGTCACCGACTTGGTCGCCTTTCGGCTGTAAAACATCGTGTGCTTTATTATCAGAGACGAGAGGGCTCGGAGAAGTTTCCGTGTCTCGAACGGAGCTGGAGACGCCGGTGAAGGGCTTGTCGATCTTGGATCGCTTTCCCCGATGACCGTCGGAATCCTTATCCTGGATATCGTCGACTGATTCCACGACTCGCTTCTGAGGAGAGTCCGATGACATCTCGTCGGAAAAGCTCAGAAGCAGGTACTAGTGTCAAACTGTAAAATGCCGAGAGGAGGAGAAAGGAGCAACCGTGCTCACACCTTAACTCTGAGCTAGGGCACGAAGTAGTTTTCACAGCCACCCGGAGGAAGGGTACACTCACCAAGGCTTTTGGAAACGAAGAATGAAGACTTCATCTGAACGAGAGGCTTGAAGTCCCTTCTTAAGTAGGCATGAGCGATTGCTGCTTCTCATGGGTTGTGTTGGGAAGATCCGGGGATAGGGAGATTGTTCTCCATCATGAACAAAGAACGAGGTACACAAAGTTACCTCCGCTGCTTGCTTTTTACTTTCACTTCTTTGTTTAACTACTGGGGTTTGCTTAGCCGCACTATAGCCTGTCTATCAATCCATTTGGGCTTTCGGTACATGTCCTGACCACTACCACCCCAGCCCGGATAATCACACACTTTTCCTATACATTTTTCCCCCTCCCTTTGTAACCGCCTTTGGTACACCATCGTGAATCCAAAATGATAACAAAACAACACAGCCCACATCACCGGCATAATCCACAGCAGACTCCATCACCCAGAGTGACTTATACAACCCAGGAGCTGTATTTGGTTGATATCCGTTCTGGCGAACTGTAGACTTACTCTGTTGGTATGTTGTTTATCTCCCTTGTTGTTAGTATGTTTAGCAGTGTAAATGAGTATCGGAGTGGTTTCACCCAGTTGATAGATAATCTAGTCCTATCGCTTACCTTATACGGAAGCCGCCGCTTTACTGTGCGCAGTCAAGTATGGAGGGCTAGCACGTAAGTCGTCTTGTGCGTGGAACCATGCGCGTATGGTGCTAGTGCTTACACACTTCCCGGTGCGGTTTAGGTAGTTTCTGGCACCGCCCTTGGAATCACTTCAGACAGAAGGAATTACACGTGAATAACCTGGGCGCCTCTGCCTCCTCCTCCGCCCGGCATAGCCACAACCATGTAACTGCCCTGATGATGCCCAACCCAAGCATTGTCGTGAGTCGCAATTTTGCCCAGCTGGAGGAGTTATGATCTTACAGCAGTCACTTAACTTGCATAACTTGCTTAGGAGGCAAGATCATAGGCAACCATGCCTCTACAGTCATTCTGGCTTCCAAGTGGTCACTACGTTAGTGGCCATATCCTTGTCTTTTACCTAAGGAAGTGCCAACACAATCGTCATCTTTATGAGATACTAGTAGCTACGTTGTTTCGCCCAGAAGCCCAGTAAGGCGGCTCGCGCGCCAGGGGTTTGTTTAATCTCTCGAGGCTTGTTTTTAGGCAAATCCGTATATAAACCTTGAGAAGGAGAAAGGAAAGAGAGAGTGAGAAAACGTCCATCTTCGCCTACAAGATGTCTTCAACTGTGGCAAACAATACTGCGCCACATTCTCCTACTATACACTACCCCCAGCCAGAAAGGCCAGCGAGCCATAGTGTGACGCCGCCATTCTCCAGCTCTGCGAGCATTCGCTCTTCCCCACAATATACGCACCCAGCAGGCGTCAACTTCCAGCACCAGTTGATAAAGCCCAGCGAGGATCTCCAACGCTATCTGGACTTCCAGCTCATAACGCCGAAGTTGAATCGGATTCATCATCTGCTATGGCTCGCTGGCCTCCCACGGGCAGCCCGGCCACTGCATCGACAGAAGCTGATGAAGCGTGCGATTATCCTCACGGAATCCCCAGATGAGCACTTGGTCTGGAGCCCCGGGCAGATCCTCATCAAACCCGTCCCGGAATATCTTCTGGACCACGAGTTTTGGGTGCGGGAGCTCTGTCCTCATCGAGAACTGCACGCTGCCGCATGTGGGCTGCTTCTATCTTATGCGTGGCTCATTACTGGATTGATCGATTTCCAACTCGCCAAGGACGAGCGTATTTTTCCCTGTGATGTCACTTGGGATGCATGGACCCTATTAATCCGGCAGTTCCTCGAGTGGGTGGACAATGAGAATGATGACGATAGATGTAGTACTTCCCTGCCCACAGAAAAGGATTATGTTTCCCAACCCCAGCCTGCAATCATCAACAAGCGCTACGAGTTTGGCGAGTTGCGCTTGAGCCGCCTGAATTCCCTGTACCGATTAGCGCCCGTGACCTTTTCTATCCGCAACCTCATTTTTGGGTTTCTTCCCAGTTCCACATGGTACCAGGAGTTCTTCGAGCGTAATTTCTCGTGGATCCTGGCGGTTTTAGTATACATGTCAGTTCTGTTGTCGGCCATGCAAGTGGGACTGGCGACCGAGGCGCTGCAGGGGAATCAGCAGTTTCAGAGGGTTTGCGTCGTCTTCACCTTGGCGTCTATTTTCTTTACGGTAATTCTGGTGTGGATTATGCTGATGTTATGGACCCTGTTGTTTTTCTATCATCTTGGGTTTACAATGATGTACAATAGGCAGATGCAGAGAGAGCGGAGAGTGTATAGAAAAACCGTGTGACTGTCTAAGGCCAGTCATGCCTTCAACGTCCAAATGTCAATTGTATTCGGCGAGCAGGCTTGCGGAGCAAAAGCAAACAAATGAAAGCCAGAAGGTGAAGCGATTGAAACAATGTTGAGCCAATCATAATTTTCAACAGACTCAGCCTCGCGAATGCGTGCCTTGGATTAGTGATGATGCAGGTGGTGGTGCCCTGCTGCAACTTGTGGGTGGCAGTGCCGCAGCTCAGAGCAGTGCGATAAGCCGCTAAAGGATTATATCTTTCGTTTCTCACCTCAACACTTCACAGTTTGGCGAAGAAGAAATCGAGGAAATTAGAATGTTAGGCGATACCAATATGGATATTTCCAAAGACATGTCTTTGTGCCCCTTCCCAAAGCGGGATCCGGAGTTGGGGGATAATGGCATCCACGGCGAGGCCGATTATCCTCAAACCAAGCGGCTCAGGCTTGACGAGCATCTCGTCAACACGTCCAGCTCCAATTCGGGCATGACAACTCCCTGGGGATCTTTCGGCCCGCAGAATCATCAAGATACTGTACAACAGGATCAAATTCGGGGCGGGCTCCCTCTTCCATATGCGCAAGTTACCCGTGAGTGCAAGAATAACAATAGACTAACGCCGGAGGTTTCTATCACTTCTGATTCTGGCGGTCGCGGCCCTTTTTTTTTTTTTTTTTCCCTTCATCTATCTCACTAATCATCTCTCACAATGCAAAAGCAGGCTTTCTAGAAGCGCAAGTACTTCAACCAAATCTCTTACCTCCTCCTCCACTTCAAGTCTGTGCCCCGCAATACCGCGACATCAATGACCAGGACTTGCCAAGGGCCCAGGAGTATGATGCAGGTCAGATATGTTTTGGAATGGTGCGTGGTAGGAGACACTGTTATTCCTCCCTTTGCTTTTGCCTATCTACTTGTTGTAGCTGATGTGCTGTAGCTGAAAAACATCCAAATCCGTATTGACTGTGTTGAAGACCCGTCATCTCTATGCTTTGATGAAATTTCAGAGGAAAATGAAGATTTTGCCTTGTTACATCTCTTCATACAGGATGACCGTTGTGATCTTCTATCGAAACAAGGAAACTGCGTCGCTACACTGAATACCAAAACTCACCATGCACTTAGCTCCATGAGGCTACCAGAGCCCCCAACCTGGCTAGGTGTAATACCAAAGTTCGAGCTCCACCAGAGAATGAAAATTGTAGTAGAGTCTTCACCCTCCGCTCGGTGGTCGTCGAAGGCTACATGTACGATGTCCATTCTCGTAATCGGTTCGCCTTCGGTCGCTCAAATCCTGGCAAGGGAGCTCGCTCGGTACCATTTATTCCTGCAACACCCAAACCCAAAGCCTGAATACCTCGAGTACAAGAATCCACAGTATTTGTCCGGTGTGGGAGCGCCGTGTCTTAACCGGCCGATACTACCGCCCATTTTGGGGATCGCTAAGCCAAACGACACAGGCGGCCTCGACACGATGGACAATGAGGCCCAAGGCTATGGCGATCGCGAATATGACGGCGATGGTTCTGGAGCGGTTCTCTATAAGCTTCCGCAGCAGGCTTTGAGAAAAGAGGTAGGTGCTGATAGTCGCATTCGAACAAAGCTTGAAAGGTGAGTTCGATTTCATTTTTGAATTCTGATTCTCGAAAGGAGGTTGAGACTTGTTGCAGCCACCAGTGGGAAGCGGTCGATTTCATTCTATCTCGAGAATCAGCCTATCCCCGAACCAAGTACACACTGTGGCGTCCTGAGAGCCGAAATTGGAATGAGCATGTGTAAGTGTAAAATCTACGACTGTTGGCTGTAACGCACTTACTTACAAGGAGATAATATAGTTACAGAAATAAGATAACTGGCACGACAAGCCCGGAGCCCGTGGACATTCGTGGCGGGATTCTTGCGGATGATATGGGCGTAGGAAAGACCCTCAGCATGATTGCCAGTATAGTAGCATCTTCACCCTATGATACAATAACCTTGGAGAAACAGGCGAACTTGAAGTTAGTTCCCTCGAGATCTACGCTTGTTGTCGTACCATCTGTTCGTAAGTACCTACAGCTTATTCCAAGCTTCCGAGTCTATTCACCATGACTTATCGAGATCTAGTACTGCTCCACGGTTGGATTGACGAAGTTAAGAAGTAAAACACAACAATATGGTGACGGTCTTATTTACAAAAAACCCTTTTCTAACTCAGCAAGCAGGCATGTCATTCCCGGAGTTCTGAAGTATTACAAATATCATGGCCCAGGGCGTTGCATCTCATTGTCATCGCCCCCTTCAGAAGATGTCATTCTCACAACCTATGCCACTGTTGAAGCTGATATCAGTAGCAGCGGCGGAAATGGTATTCTCAACAGAGTTTACTGGCATAGATTAATACTCGATGAAGGTCAAAAATCACCCCTTGCGTAAGCACTGCAAGACGCTGATTCATTTTACATAGCTCACGTTATACGGAATTCATCCACGAAACAGTTCAAGGCTATCGAGAGCCTTTCGGCCTCGATTCGCTGGTGCATGACAGGGACACCGATACAGAATTCCCTTAAGGACCTCGCGTCGCTCGTTCGGTTCCTCCGCATCCCGTACTTAGACAGCATAGGGAGCTTCCTCAAATACATGACAAAAACGTCGGCTGGATCTACCCGTAATGCCCGTAATCAACCAAATTACGCCAATCTCAATTGTCTTCTTATAGCGACCTGCCTGAGACGTACAATGTCTACGGTTTTTCCGGCTCTTGGGGGCACCTTCTTCACGTATCGTCCCTCGTTCTCGGAAGCCGAACGCAGAGTCTACGATGAGCTGGTCAGGGGTTACGAGAGACGGCTGATGGCCGCAACAAATATGTCATCTTCGAAAGGACGATCAGATAAGCTGATTATGACAGCTCAATTGCGGTTACGCATGTTTTGCAATACCGGTCTGAGAAGTGTGTTTCTCGGCGGAGGAAGGTCCGATAATGATATAGACGCTCAGAAACTATCGTCGGACGAAATAGTCACGCTACTCCAACAGGATGGACAGAACACTTGCTCTATCTGTGGCATGGAGATACTGACCTTAGATCCCGAGGACGAAGACGAAGATAAGAGCAGAAGTTCCTCGTTGGATTCTTGGCTCTCATTGAGCCGCCACCGTAGGTTGAAATGCCAGATATGTGCCCGCCCAAATGCAGGTATTATGGAGGATAGAGAGAGTCAATATGACCCTGAGGCTCCAATAACAGCAAACACAACGGCGACAACAACAACAACCCTAACATCCGATGATGATGATGAAATGACAGACAGTGGGCAAACTATCAGCGCCGAACAGGACTTTCTCGATCCTGTTGGTTCTCAACGGGCCAGTGTTGCCTATCCTTCAAAATTGGCGACTCTACTTACCGATATACGAAACCATTATTCGGAAGATAAAAGGTAATTATACTCCGTATTTCCCGCAGCACACCTGGGTTTTTATCTTGTCTTATATGCCCCATTGCTTACCAGATATACAAAACAAATCAGCATAGTCTTTTCTTTCTGGAGACAAAGCCTTGATGTCTTGGGTGAGATGTTCGACCAAAATGGTATCTCTCATTGCCGAGTCGATGGTATCATGAGCCCGATGAAACGGAAGACTATGCTGGAGGAGTTCCAGCACAACTCAGCTGTCCGGGTGCTCTTGATGACTATAGGAACGGGCGCTGTAGGGTAAGTTATGACACAAAGCCCGCATTTTCTGCCTCTGGCATCGCCTGCGAGATCTCGGCCCTGGAGATAGTATTGATCAATGGGGAGCCCGCGGGTTGACACAGTTCGAATACAGATTGAATAACTTGTCCGTCGCGAGTCGGGTCCACATACTGGAACCGCAGTGGAACCCGTCGGTGGAGAGTCAGGCAATCGGACGGGCACTACGTTGGGGTCAGGGTAAGAAGACATTTGTCATTCGCTACGTGATGGAGGACACGGTTGAGAAGGTGAGTTCCAGTAATCATCCTAGCAGAACGGCAAAGATTATGTCTACTATCTGTCAATCACGGAAATCGCTTACCCAAGAGATAGATCATTGAGAGTGGTCAATTACGGAAGTTGCAGCTCTCATTGGATGAGCGCGAACTACGGTAAAAGGGACGTCATGCTATGGGATTAGCGTAATGGGAACGAACAGCATCAATATCAGAACTTGAATCAAGTCCCAAAGCGTCAAAGACCGCATTTCTCCAAAAAGACCCGGAAAGGGGGTAAGGTTCGCCCGGCCGTGAGCAGGACCTCGGCATTGGCCCCCTTTTGATCGGCAAACACGTTGTCATCCAGATAATTTCCATAGACATCACCAGCTGCTTGTTTCTCCCGCAGCCAAGGCAAGATGCACTTGTTTTTCTTTTCTGGCTGGAAATGATTCCTGAAATGGTCTTTTCTGGCGAATGTCCTATTGCACCCCCACTTTGTCCCATCCTTGAGAGTTCCGGCACAGACGTACTTTTGCTTATCGCTATTATGTACACCCTGATGGCGCTCGCAGTCTTCTTTTCGTGTGAAGGGTTTGCCACAAGTGGTACAAAGAAAAGACCTCTCACTAGCATGACTTCTCTGATGTCGATTCAGACTCTTTTTTTGGGTAAAAGTCTTATCACAGTCGGTACATCTGAACTTTCCCTCAACTCCTCCGGACTTGGATATTTTCTCTCTTATAGGCTTAGGAAAGTCTGGCTCATCTCCATCACTGGCATCGTTGATGTGATGCACGTCAAACAGATGCTTTTGTAATTCTTTTTCCAGCGCGTAACCAAAGACCTCCATCGGACAGCCCGCGACAACGCAGAGGTACGGTCGGGTGTGCTTTTTCGTATGTCGGTTCCGCTGGTCAAGAAAGCGGAAGCCGTGATGATAGTAGTAACAGTTGACTCGAGGGCACTTGAACCGATTCACGCCGTAGAGACGTTTGATAGTCTTGAATTCGTCACCCTTAGTATCAATACCTTCCAACACGGATCTGATTTTGGCTGTAACCTTCCACAGAGCGAGCGCCTCCTCATCACAGGGGCCTATTCCAGACTGGCCAGCCTGCTTCCTGGCCCAAGCGACCGTTTGAACTAGTCGGTTGTGATCCTTCATTTTCGTAGTTTCAATCTCGTTGAAAGGTGATAAGAGTGTGCGCACTCTTTCGATATGTTGAATGGGCTTGTGTGACTCGGACCAGTGCATATCAACTACTCCTTTCAGTGCCTCGCATAGACGAGTGAGGTCGCCCACTTCAAGACTCAAAATCCCACCCTCCAGGTGCATAACCCAGCAAGCAGACGCATAGTCATACAGCTGATGAAACCCGTCAAGCATATCTGACTTGACATCATGTTCAGCTCGATTGAGATCGAACTGAGGGAACGAGAGGTACGTGAGACAGCGCACTGCTAGCGAATAATGGGCCTGGTGGACTCTTACCACCGGCTCTTTTCTGAGGCCTTTCTCCAACCCTCCTTTCGTCAAATACCTAGCGCAGTCAGTAAAATATGGTATGTGCTCCATGTGAGATACCTTACTTCCGTGCAGTACCATGAACAAGATCAACTGTGCCATCAAGATGGTACTCGATAAGAGAGGCGAATAGTTCGTTTGGCGAATCGACTAGTCGTCTGCGAACATCAAAATTCCCATGCGTAGGGCTGATACAGGCTGTGGTCTGTATCTCTTCCCATCGTAGTGGCCGACGAGCACAGACAATCCAACCTAGCATTTCCTTGATGCGCTTCATAGTTTCAACGTCTCTCACTTCTTGGATGCGACTAAGAATCCGCTCATAGCTTCGTGGCAAACAGTCAGCCCAACGTTGGAAAGCCCGCGAAGCTAAAACCTACAGATCATCCAACTCCACCGGCAGATTGTCGGGACGAAGTTGATCTTCGAGGTCTTCAAGACTCAGACGCTCCTCGAGATATTTCGCGAATAGTTCGGCGAAGATAAACATCCCTTAAGCAAGGGGTTAGACATCCGACATCCCAGTGAATTGATGGAATCCCTTGAGTATCTTACCATTAGCCCGTTTCGTTATGATGTCTTGAATATGCAGGAGACGATTGTTTCCCCCAAACTTGGTGACTATAGTCTGCTGCCATACGCGGGCAAAAGCCGAAATATCTTCAAAATTGCGCTGTCCGATCTTGATGCATTCGATGCTCTCAAAATCTTCCGCAGCCGCACCGTCTTCCTGGCTGACAAACAGACACCGGATGGAGCCCGCATCTATCACCGTTTGTTCAACCATTTGACGAAACAGATTAACGATATTCTTCCTGGCAGCGCGCCCGCATTCGTCTAAGCCATCAAGTACAATATAGACCCTCCTACAACTCCTGAGAGACGTGCATAACAGTTGCTCAGAGACTGTGGATGACGTCAATGAGGCATTCATGTGAGCTTTTTCGTAATAATATGGCAGTAGATCAGGGTTCTGGTCAAGGACTTGTGCCAAGATCGACCTCGTAACACTATCAACGGTGTTACGTCTCTCATCGCCATGCTTGCAATAGAAATACGCAACAGTTGCTCCCGGAAGTCTGGAAAGCTCGTCAATCACGATAGAAGCGAGAACGGTCTTGCCTGGAGATGATTTTTAGCATCATATTCTCGTCCTATGGCTCCTTTCCCACTCTCAAGCAATTTTCCTGAGTCCGTTACATACCTGCTCCCGGGATCCCGCTGAGCCAAAGTAGTGGGTTTAAATGATCGTCAATGCTTGACCATGTCTTTAATTCGGGGCTATTCAGTAGCCATTTCCCGGGATTTTGACTAACTCGTCTCTTGGCTTGATGAACGCGGTGTTCTGCTTTGATGTCGATTGCGGAAAGCCAGTGCTCGACCGTATCTCTGTGAACCTTCGCCATAGCCTCCTTCTCACGTTCAAAGGCACGTGCAGATATCAAATCATCTTTTCTGATTGCCTCAAACTCCATAAGAGAGACTCTATTCTCAATAAGCCGTTTGTTTCGCGCAGCTCTCTCCGCAATATCATCGATATTGATAGTAAAGACTCTCATCCAGGCATGGAACAGCTGATCCCATTCTATTTTAGATCAGCCTCTGTTATAAGCCAGTGTCAATGGCAAGGATACCCACGCCGATGTTTTAAGTGCCGGATTACTTCAGAGTGGAACAGAAGAACATCCTTGTAGATCATTACTAGAGCATCTCTCAAGTGAGGACACTCAATAAAAAGAGCCTGGTACGGGCGAAGTCGAGGCATCTGATCTCCAATTGACTGGTATGCATTCAAAATGGAATCGAATGCTTTTGAATGCTCGCATGTTGTCTAGACATAACAGAGCATCTGTCAGAAAATTTTAATGAGCCCGAACGCGTTTCCTCACGTACCTCAAGGATATACTTCATTGAACCCTACGTTAGGGTCAGCCCAGTTCATAGCACGATACATATTATAAACATTCTAATCCACCTTACCCATACGTACGCAATGCTATCAGAGTTATTGGAAAATAGTCTGATATCTTCCGCCAGCTGGCCAAACTGCTCCATCGATACCAAAAACGGTTCTAGTCGTCCCATGTACTTCATGTCTCTGGAGAGTTCCTGTTGCATTTGTATTCCACCGATTGTATGCTGAAGGACATCCAAAGTTGTACCAACCAAAGTCTTTACTTCGCTTTCGGTGAGTTTTGATGCGTTCTTGAACTTGTCTAGCTCCGCTATCATGAGACGTGAGTGCGTGATCGAACTAGAGGAGGCTCATGGCATTTCGCTTACCAAGTATGCTGCGTGGTGGCGGCTGCAGCAGAAGGCCCTCTGCTGCAGATTTCGCACTATCTTCTGGATAAATCTGGTAGAAAGGCTGCATCACATCATCAGGGACAGTGTGAGGCACGCTGCTACTCTGTGCATCACAGTCAATGTCATCTTGTGGCTGAGGATCGGGGCTTAGAATTTGCAATAACTTTGAGCGCACAGTTGAGTAATATTGAGAACCTTGATCAAACTTCACCATATCGGAATGTGACTCATTGATTGCAAACGTTATTGCAGATCTAGTGTTAATGAATCCGCATGTTGCTGAATCTTTGTTCACCAGAATGGCCGTAGGCCCATCTCTGGTTACTCGATTGTCTGCTTTCCTCTGCTGCTGGTCAGCAACTAGCTCACAGTTTGTGGTATAGCGATTTATTCTGATTACTGGTTACGGTGATTACATACAACAACTGTGGGCGACACACTTGTTTCATACGCCCAAAAAAACTTGAATCGTTCGTGAAAGTGATTGGTGGAGAACGCCTCTGTGAGTTGGTGGATGAAGTTGGATGTTGTAGATAAATCTCGAATAAGGACCCCATTAGGTTTGCCATGGACAATGGCTTCCAATTCCCTATGCTCCATGCCCAAATTTGGGACGCCGAAGAAGACTGCTCCGCGTACAGCACTCAAGAGGGCCTGATGTTCATTGCCCGGGTGATTTTCGGCCAGGTCTCGTAGAGCTTGCTTAACGACCAGTCCTCCCAGACTATGGGCGAGAAATACCAGCGGCGTTACCGACTCTGGGACCCGGTGGGCTTGGAGTTGATCGATGAGCTGCTTGGCGAGATCGTTGATGGTCTGGAATGAGCTGCTGCCGTCAAGCTCAGTATCATACCCGTAAAGTATGGCTCGTATCCCTCGCACAGACTTGGGTAGATTATCACGAATCCACATGAAGCGTTTGTTACTTCCCTTGCGCTGCCAGGATCCGAAAGGGTGGCTTGCTAGACCTGAGATAGCGATGCAACTAACCAATGGTCAAACGCCGGTCATGTTGAAAAGACATGGCAGTCCTTACTCGTACGAGTTTTGCAAGTGATTTGTATCATTCAAAGGTGTCAGACCTATAAAGTGGGTATCTAATATGAGGTCTGGGCTATTACGATCATGGCCCCTGGCGGGAATATGCCACGCCCGGCTTTCTGGATTGCGTTGGACAAGCGAAGGGGGAACATCGAACATAACAGTTGCCACTTTAGTGGGAGGATCCTCCCAATAATTCAGAGTCAGCGCGAGGGAATACACCCAGATTTGGTGCGTAGAGATATCGCTGAGCCGTTTACTAAGCAGACGAGCGGCATCTTCTTTGGTTTCCACGGTGTCTG